TTTTTTTTTTTTTTTGATTTCCCCTTTTATTAGTATTGCAAAAAATTACAACGTAATCACTAATCAATTACAATTTTGACGCAGTAGCATCACATCAATAAAGGTATCTAAATTAAAATAAAACAAAAATAAATACAAATACAAAACAAAAAGAAAAACTTTATTTTTTATTTTTATTTTTTTAAAAAAAAAGAAAAACACTAAACTATAAACTATATCTATTAACCTATAATGAGTATCACGTGACTTCAACTATGAGTAATAGATAATTTATTTGTCCTCTACTCGCCACCTATTTATAAAATTCCACTCCAAACTCTTAGTCGCTCTTTTCTCGTTAATGTTCTCTTCCTTAATACGTTTTGTGAAGTCACTATTCAGCGTCGTATATCTTTGTCGCATCATGTGATTCTGCCGCTTCAATGACTCTTGTTTTGAAGAGGTTGGAAATCAATAAACTCCTCAAGTCCTTGCACCGCAACATCCACATTCCACATCTTTCTCTATTGCGCCCCACTCCATATCTTCTCCACATTTCTCAATTCGTAAGGAAGCCGTTCCACTTCTTCTTGTTGCATCTTTCTATGGTCGTTAACAATTTTCACGACCGTAATTTTAATACATAGAAAAATGTAGAAATAAGTTGTTAAATTTAAATCGTTTAAACGATATTACGGATATTGATTTAAAAAATGTTTATGCTTCATTGGTTCTGGCAAAATCAACAAATAAATTTAAGTCTAAAAAATTAAGCTTAATAACTCACACAAGTTAATTTTAGCTACTAATTTCCACTCTAACTAAATTAAACTTTAAGCATAAAATTAGAATATGTACGGTCACGTCGGAAAGCAATGTCCGATTGCTTATGTTACAATGCCTCATTTATTTCTATTCTTTCATTTTTTTTGTGTATGTTTATGGAAACATTTATTCTTAATTGTTCTTTTAAGATTTCATACAATAATTTAGTTATGTACTGAAACAAATCTCCAAAATAAGAGAAGAATATGATTAACATATTTAATAAAAGAAGGGATATTCAATAAATTACCCAGAAGTGTATTGCCCTCCTAAGGGCTGTAGGCGAACTTGAAACTGCACTAAAGGAAAGAATAATTCCGCTTTTGAGAAGGCTGCTGCTGCATCGGCGTTATTAAAATTTAATATAAAGAAGCAAGCAAGTTAGATATAAATTTTTTATCAATATACAAACTAGCGAAAAAATATATATATTTTTACTTTTGTTCAATTTCAAATCGGGCGTTACTTTCCGACGTGACTGTATGAATTGTATAGTTGCAAATTCCTTTAAAAGCAAATAATAGAGCGTCAGCCGTTTCAGATAATTAATTCTAGCTAGTCCCTTAAACATTATGAGGCTGGCGTTCACCATCTGGCGTATTTAAACTAGATTAGTATGATAAAAGATTTATGCAGGATTAGAATTAAAGTTTGAGAATTTATCAAAAAAATAGATTTGCGAGAACGCAAGTACAAGAATTATAATTCAAAATATTGCGGATTTATGGTAATAAATTTTTTTTTATTATTTTATATACATGGTATAATCATTCGAATAAAAAATCTGCATAATGTACTATTTTTGGGATAATTACACCAAATTGATAATTTTCTGGAATTTACTACAATTAAGATATTATAATATTTGTAGATCACTCGATTGAAACAAAACATTACGTTTAGTGTGTTTATTACGTAAGGTTCCAAAAGAACAATTCGAACGTTTTATTTTTAACAAGGAGTTTCTTTGAAACCTATGGGTACACAAACTATGATGATCAGGAGATGAATGTTTCATTAATTATAGAAATTCATCAAAAACAAATTTCCTCAAATAATTTAAATGGCAATGATCATTGGTGTAACTAAGCATTTAACTTGAATAAGATTAGATGATGCACTGAATTTTAAATTTGTGTAAGTTGTTTAAAATTACAAGGAACCCTATAAACGAAAATCTTATGGTCCTTGTATGCCCAAATAAAGATTAATTGGCTACGCGGAAAAATGCTCCGGTGTGCAAATATGCAAGAATCAATTTTATTGGAGTTAAGTAAATTCCGGTTAAATTGTCAGCCTATTATTTCCAATCATTTTATTTCGTATATTCCGTAAATTCCGTGATAAATTTGTATTACATAATTAATTATTGAATATCCGAAACTCTACCATATGGTCCATACCTCAAACCTGGTCTTTCGAATGTCTAACCGAATCTGGTTTGGTTTATAGTCGCTTCTTGGGATATGGTCGAGTTTGAGTTACCAATTGATTTTACATATATATACTGTACGTATTTTTTTTTCCCTAATATTTTTTCTTCGTCTTATCTTAATTCACCTTGAAAAATTATAAAAATGTCTCAGGTAAATAAAAACAAACGTGTCATTAACTCTTAATATATAGAATTGTTCTTTTTTTCTCTTTTTCCGATACACGTAAAATCAATTTCTAATAATTACTATTATTAGAAAATAATTATTAACATTTTATCTTATTTTATTTCTTCTTTTATTTTAATCTCCGAAACCTATTATTACTTGATAAAAGGGTGTACCTTCAATTTCGATATCCGATTTATCGAAATATTACCAATTCAATTGTGAAAAATTAGTACAAAAAATTGTTTCCAAAAAACCAAAATCAACAAACGAAAACGAAAACAAGAAGAATAAAACAGATAATTTAATTGAAGCGTCAAAAAAACGTGGAAATGAATTTGAATTAGAAATTAAAAATAAATTAAATAATGTAGTAGATTGTCAATATAAATCATACAAAGATTTATTAAGAAATGTTCATGTCGGTCAAACTTTTTATCAAATGAAATTCGATGTACCTGAAAATGTTTATAATGCGAATATAAAAGATATCATTAAATTAAAAAGTTTTATACCAGACTTTATTGAAGTCATAAGAGAAGATGGTGAGACAAAATTGATGGTTTGGGATGTAAAATCTTCAAAAAGTACTCGAATCTCACATCAGGTATATAAATAATATAATATAAAAATATTTATTTGAAATATAGCTTGTGGCGAATGAACTCTAATATTTTTCTTCTCTTTTTTTTAGTTCCAAGCAGCTTCTTATGTTTATCTTCTTAAATATATAATTCAAGATTTTCCAGCACTATCGATTTCGCATACTATCGGAATTCGTTTACCTCATTTGCCTTTACAAACTTTTAATATCGATTTGTTGCTTCAAAGGATAGATAAATTCTTTCGTAAAGATTTACCAAAAATTATAAGAACAAAAGAACCTTTTTGGTACTATAATACAAGATGTAGAACTTGTGATTTTGTACATACTTGTAGAGAAGATGCTAAAGGCTCTATTTCAATGATTCCTCATTTATCACCTGAGAATGCTGAGTCTTTGAGAACTTTTGTGTCATCACGAAATGATGTAGTTGATATCGAAGACTTAACAAAGATTGTTGTTAACGAAGATAATGATGTTAAAAAAAGCGACAAATTAATGATTAAACAAATTATCAAATATGATAAGAAATCAAAAAGATCACCGTATTTGAGAGCCAAAAAGACCAAACGAGCACAGGTATTTTCCGTATTTTTTTTTTTTTTTTTTTTTTTTTTTTTTTTTTTTTTGATCGGCATATATAATATATTAACGTCAACGTCACGAAAAGTTTGTAGGATTACCAGTTGCAAATTTTCCCCAAAAAACGGATCATAATTTGTTAATAACAATGTCTTTAGATCCTTTCTTGTCACATCCTTTCGGATGGGGAATATGTCTTTTTACTGGTGATGGAGAAATTTTGCAGAAATATAGACGCGCTGAATCATTTTCGAAGGAATCTCAAAAAAAATTTGTCCCTTTGATGGATGAATTTGTAACTATGCTAACGAAGTGCTTTGAATATTTATCACAAGTTAAATCTCGTGCTTGTATCTTTGTTTACTCTGAACGAGAAAAAACAACTATTCAGGATGCTTTGTTGGAAATTATTACCACGGATGATAATACCGTTTCATGTACACTACAACATGCAGCTACAAGATGTTTGTTTAATTTATTTGAAGATTCGTCATTAATAACAGCTTCTGGAAGTAAGGATGATAATATTATGGAAATTCCTGATAGTCGGAATGAATGGCGAGAATTTCCAAGATTGATTATTTTAGAACACGCGATAAAAGAAAATATTGCAATTTATGTACCAGGATTTTACCGTTTCATTGATATTTGGCAGCAGTTGGTAAAGCCAACGCTATCAAATGATCAAGAATTATTAAATTCATTAGAGCAACACATTACGAAAATTGATTTAGAAAATATTTATACTTCATGGGTTTCTGAACAAAGTTCTGCGCAACAAAAAATTCAAGAAGCCCATTTATTAAGAATTAAATTTGTGAATGCCGTAATGAAAGCTTATTACAAGCTTCTAAAAGAATCGACAGATAATGATATTGCTTCTATATTGATATTTACACCACCAATTTTTACTTTTACAGAAATTAAGTCATTTAATAATCATTATTTAGGAAAATTATATTTTTTTAAACAATATGAAGCTATAACTGAGTGCATGAGAATTAGATCTAAGAGAATAAAAGATTTTACACAAGATGAATCAATACGCGGAGTTCAATTACGATATGAACGTTTTATTAATAAAGTAAATAATGAATGGATAGTGAAATTCACTATTATAAATAACGAAAAAGATGCTAGTCTATTAGAACCTAGTTCATTTAAAACATTTATTCTGGTTGAAGATAGTCCGAAGGTATGTAAATAATTTATGCGTATTCTATTCCTATTTAAATTATCACGAAATTCAGGAATTTTAATAATTTTTCTTTATTTACAATAATAATAATGATGAAAAGGGTCTTCGGGAAGCAATTAAATTTTCAGATATGGAATATCGCAATAAAAACCCTTCTGTACTTTCTTTGGCTATTGTATGTTTAGAAAAAGTTGAGAATAGGACAATTTATTTGAAAGGAACTTTTAAAATGGACTTGACAAAAATTACAAATTGTCGCCTTTACAAACGTTATTTTGATTTTAATCTTAATAAAGTATTAACGACCTTTGCTGAAATAGATGAACGAAATGATGATAACAAGTCAGTGTCTATGGTTAGTGTCTTTCTTTACGAAGTAATTTGTAAAGATTTTCTTCAAATCTTGGGTGCCTTGGACGTTCATCTTTTGTCCTAAAATAAAAAAATTTTTTACTAATAAATTTGAATCTTTGCGTCTTAATTTAATATTTATTTAGGATCTTCTGAAAGATCCCAATGCATGGGGTTCTGGTTCTTCAATCGAAGAACGACAGTTTAAAAAAATCAAAAGTACAACTTCAACTTCGAGTCTAGAAACTTTTTGTATGTCTCCATCGCAAAAAGAAATATCAGAAGATTTATTAAAAAAAAGACTTCAAATCGTTTGGGGGCCACCTGTAAGTATAATTCATACCTACTATGTTTTAATATATAATTTAGCGAAGTTTTATAAAATAATATTTATTTCTATTTAACAGGGTTCCGGTAAAACACAATTTCTTGCATTATTTATTACATGGTACTTAAGTATGTTACCAAAGTTAACAGATACTAATAGGAAATATGTGATCGGAGTAACAGCTTTCACTAAGGAAGCTATTGCAAATTTATTGGAAAGGATTTCCTGCACGAGAAAATATTATAATAGATTCACTATTTTTAGTATGATCGAAAATATGAAAGGAGACGATATAAAAGTATGTAAAGGAGAAGATTTATCTAAAAAGATTGCAAGATATAAAGGTCCTGTTGTAATTGGTGGTACTGTTTGGGATTGGTATAAATTGAGAAAAACTGTTAAATGCGATATTATGATGATAGATGAGGGTTCCCAAGTAAGTAAAAAAAAATAAAAAATTAAAATTTATAATTAACATCTTATTTTATTAAATTGCTAAGATATATAATTTTTATTTCTTAATAGTTATTGGTCTCAGATGCCATACTTGCAATTGAATGTTTAAATCCAAGAACCGGAAAACTAATTGTTGCTGGTGATCATATGGTATGATAAACGAAGTTAAGAATTTTGATAATTTTAAAATACTATGAAATTATTTATTAAGAATTTTTTTTTATCATTAGCAATTAGGACCAATTATTAAAAATTCTTATCCTAAATTTCCATATGATCATCCTCTCATATTTGGATCAATACAACAATGCTTAATGCGCAGAAAAGACGGTTCTATTATGCACGAAGAAGACTTAAAAGAACAGAAATATGATTTTGGACATCTTACTACGCAACTTAAAGAAAATTGGAGAATGGTACGTTCTTTATTTTCCTACATAATAATTAATCTTATATAACTGAAGTTAACGAGCTTATTTTTTTTTTTCTTTAACTTCTATATTACAGAATGAAGAATTAAATAAATTTTTTCAAAAGATTTATGGCAAAAACTATATTTCCAAAAATCCAAATCTAAAACTTGCTTTAAACGATAATAAATTATCACAAGTGAATCCTCTAATTCGAAAAATTTTGTCTCCAGATTCAGCAATTACTTTAGTGATAATTAAAAACAGTGAATTGGTCAATTCTGATACTATATTGTCAGATCAAACTAAGACTGAAGCAGAAGTTGTAAAACAAATTACGTCATCTTATTTTAAACTAACAAAAGTAAAAGAAAAACAAAAATTACTTATAGTAACACCATTTCGTCGACAACGACTTGAAATTAAATCACGACTAGAACATTATATAAAGAATGAAAATTTACAAATCAATACAGTAGATAAAATACAAGGACAAGAAGCAGATATCGTGATAGCATGTTTTGGATTTTTTAATATAAATAAAACATCTAAAGAATCAAAATTTTTATTTGAAATGAATAGATGGAATGTAGCATTAAGTAGAGCAAAATCTAAATTAATAGTCATTACGACCGATGAAATGCTTGATCCTGATGACATAGAAATATTTGCAAATAAAAAAATAAGTGAAGGATTAGAATTTCTTCATATGGTGAAAAAACATGTACAAGATGTACATGATTTACAAGAAAAAGATCCCGTTGTCGACAATAGTAAAAGAAAAAGGCGGAGGGTAGATGATAATGGTGTTATTGAATGGATTGTTAATGGGAGAGAAAAACGTCAAAAAGAAATGAATCAGAAATAGTAGAAATAGCAATAAATATTAAAACATAATTATTTAACGTATACTTTTGTCATAAAACATACTGTATATAAATTTGCATCATATCTTAAAAAATAAAAACTATAACAGATCATCGTTGAAAGACTTTGAATTTCAATGTATTAATGCTGTCTCTTATACACATCTAGATGTGTATAAGAGACAGGACCTAGACAGAGAGAAGATAGATCTAAAAAAGAAAAGAATATTATAAGGTTTAGTAGCGTACAACTATATATTAAAGCTTAAATTGTTGATAATTGTCAATATGAACCTATGCATTTTCTTATACACATCTAGATGTGTATAAGAGACAGGTTTAGTAGCGTACAACTATATATTAAAGCTTAAATTGTTGATAATTGTCAATATGAACCTATGCATTTATTAGTTACACCTATTTTAAAGAACTTTACAAATTCTTCTAATAAAGAATATTTTATTTCGTAATTATTCCTTTGTCCAGTGATGTTTCCCCTTTCGTTATCTCTTATTTTTTTTAAATGTTTTAGCACGCCTTTTCATACGTATGTCCTGCATTGTAAAAAATCTTACGCAAATTCGCATATCATCTTTGGTGAACATTATTTTATAATAAAAGCTAGGCGCAACCCGTCGCATTGCGCCGGGGATGACACTTAATAACACACTTGTATTTCATTTGCCATGCAGTATAAATAGGTCTAGTTTTTTACTATTATTATGATGGCATTAGTAGGAAATAAATGTAATAAATTACACAATACAAATAACAATGAATTGTATGCAAGTGTTACAATACAGTATATGAAATATTATTATTAAGTGGAAATTTCTTTATTTATCACACGAAACAAATTTTGCAGTACATTGAAATTTACAAATTCATTACAAAAACGATTTTGTATAAGTAGTTTATTGTCACATTGTTACAAAAAAAATCATTTTTTTTTTTATTTTAAAAGTTAGTCTATTATTGAGTTTGATACAAAAAAAATAATAATATTATTAATAATAAGAATTGGGAAAAAAGGAAATTGGCGTGAAGCCGCAACATCGAGATCCAAACCTAAAGGGTGAAAGAATGTATTCGGGAAAAAAAAATTCGGTTTGAAAGAAAAAAAGCCAAACCGGGAAAGGATTAAAGGAAAAGGGGAAAAAATTTTCGGATTGGAAAAAAAGCCAATCGGAAAAAAAAAACGAAAAAAAAAATTCGTGAGGAGGAATAAAGAGAAAAATCGGGTTGAAAAAAGAAATTGAAAAGGAAAAAGAAAAAAAAAAAAAAAAAAAAAAGAAAGAAAAAGGATAAAAAAATAAATCGGTTTAAAAAAAAAATAAGTACTGAAAAAAATTCTGAAAAAAAGGACAATAATTTGGTCCAAAAAGACCGTTAGTAATATGGTCTAAAAAAAAGACCGAATTAAAATTTTTAAAAAAAGAAAAAAAAGGGAAAGAAAAAGGTGTTTCGAAAGAGAAAAGGGGAAATTTGAAAAAAAAAAGAACGAACCATTTGGTTAAAAAAAATAAATATTTGAAAATTTCATTAACCGGAATTGAACTAGATGTACAACATGACTTGCCGATCAAGCGGACACAAACACCATTTTTTTTAATAGATAGATTAATTAAGAAAAAAATTTATACATTGATACAAAAATTTTCATAAATATATTTTAATACGAATGATTCTAAACAAAGCCTTATCAAAAATTTAGGTAAATAAAAGCAGAGATTGCAGAGTCAATGGAATTGTACTATTATGAATAACCTTTAAGCAAATAAAACATGCAAATACTTACTAGCACGTGTCTATAACTAATTAGAAGGTACTAGATACTGTCCGAAATTTAAAAATTTTGCTTCAGTAGTCTTTGTATTTATTTCATAATTGACCTATAAAACTGAAATAGAGAAAATTGTTAACCTATGTACACTCGGTTAAGCAAGTATAGAGCATTAACATCTAACGACCAGAAGCCAACAATTAAGGATTAAAGGATAATATCCTCAGCATAGGGGTGTTCGGCGAAATTAATGGTAAAAGGCGTTCGAAAATAATGGTAAAAAACCCTATTTAATGCTGTAGGCCTCACCAGACATTATCATGTTTGTGTATTGACCTCAAAGTACTACCCGTGTATCCTATAATTTAAGACAACCAGGTATAAACACAACCAGAAGCCAACAATTATTAGGATTAAAGCACGTGGAGATAATATCCTCAGCATAGGGGTGTTCGGCGAAATTAATGGTAAAAGGCGTTTCGAAAATAATGGTAAACCCTATTTCTCCTCACTAAACGCTGTAGGCCTCACCGGATACTATCATGTTTGTGTATTGACCTCAGAGATACTACCCATGTATCCTATAATTGAAGACAACCAGACATGAACAGATAAAAATAACACACTCACTTGTGAATTTAAGACCTCATTTTCTTGTTCCACTTGATTTTCTATTCGGGTGAAAGATCTAATGAAATTTCATTATTTCTTTTTTTCACCAACTAATGACTACTAATGTTGGCTTGATCAGAAATGCTTAAGTACAAAAATGTACAAAAAGATTAGTGCACTCGTTAAGCAGGTAACCCTTACAGTCATCCAAAGTCTGATGATAGTGAAATTACCTACCCTCTCTACCTGGAGATGATTTCGTAAGTTACTGTTACTGCGCCACACAAGAAAGCAAAGTAGTTGTTTATTCTTGACCGAGTTTTGTTGTTCGTATGGGCCGTCCCGTCATCTTTTTTTTGTTAGAAGAGTTTAGAACTCGGAAACAACATTATTATTAGCCTTTTATTCATATTGGAGACATAGTGATAGTGGGTTTTAAGTTCGTGTCTAAGTATAAACATATCATCATGTAAAAAACTTTTAAGCGTATTGTTAGGTATGTAACGCTTAAAAAATTTTTGATTTCGCAAAAATTTCTATTATATTTTCTTTGATGGTTTGTGTATTTATTGGTAAGAAAAAAAATTTTTGTATGGTTTGTGTATTTAAAAAATTTTTGTAAGAAAAAAAAAGGAAATAAGGTCATTTTATATGTTTTATTGTTGTACAATTTTTTTATAAATTATGTAATAGCAATAGTATATTTTGTTTACAATGACTCATTACAGCACTACAGCACTGCGCCTTTGCGCCTTTGATGTGATCACTGATATCACTGATGTGATCAATCTATCTATATTTGTCAATAATTAATCATCGCGTCGACGCGTCGCGTAACATTTTAAGAGTTTCATGTGCGCTCTCATTAATTGTGTATTATTATATTAAACATATACAATTTATTTAAATTTAAATAGTTATCTTTTATACAGGACGTGTAGACATAACTAAAAAAAAAAAAATTTTATTTTACGGTCGCTTCTGTTGAACAAGTTAATTGTACTAATTACCGAAAATTTCTTCATTAAAAATCAACATCACGAAATGATCCAATTAGAATTCATCAAATTGTCGATTCTTCAAAGGTATTATAACGATATTATACGAATCATCTGTTTTAAAACTGTAAATTTTATTTAGCTTTTCTAAGTCTAGTTCTATTTTCCATCTGGTGACACAACTAGTGTCGGTAAGAAATTTCTCTGTCTGCCACTCTCTGCCCTGATGTCTCGCAGTATCTGAAGGGCGTCTACTCCTAAAAAATACAGATGAAACTTGAAAGGGAAAAGCAGTTCGATACTCATTTCCAGAAAGTGGCTAAAAATGGCTCAGGAATTATCGTACTGCGCATTTCAGATGACGGTCCACATGATCCTTGAGTATTTCTTAAGCATATACCTCGGGCTCGTGGGTGAAACTTTTCTTTCGTATCTTCCATCACGATAATAATCCCCAGAATACTTAAAGTAGAGGGTGTGGCAATGCGCGATAAATATTTTTTACTAATATCACGTGAAAATACGCCAGGATAGAAATTGATAAAATTCACGAGTAAAAGTATTTTGCAAGTCTCTGTTGCAGAAAACTAGTGATAATGTAGTATTTAAGCGATTACTTATTTGAATACTTCAAATTGTCAAAGTTATGGACGGCTAATTACTAGAAATCAAGGTATAAACTACATCGTAACATATTTATTTAGACAAAATTATTCAACAAGTTTGTATTTAAATTTTAAAAAAAAAAAAAAAAAAAAAAAATCTCTTTAGTAATTATTGATTTTTAATTTTATATTGCTTAAATAATTTCGTCAAAAATATTGATTGTTAATACAAGAGTTTTTTTTGTCATAATGTCGTAATATAATACTTTGATCTAACGATAATTATCTTTTATAGTTTGTACTCTCCAATCTCCATATTTTGGCATTTTTTGGTATTATTTGGGTATTTGCGTTATTTTATGACATTTTTACGCTAGAAATTCTTACTGTGGCATTATATAATATTCCAGAGTTGAAAGTTCCACCAAAGTAAAATGAATATTTCATTCGGCAGAATCCTTACTTATATCAGTATAATGCCAGTAATTTTTTTTTTCAAAAAAAAATGTCCTTTTATACTATTTAAGGTCGTTGGAGAATATTTTAAATTTTAAACACCGAATTATGGTGTACGAAAATTTATTACGTAAACTAATTAAAAAATATCAAAAAAAATGACTACTTAAATAATTTAATATGATAGATTACAATTATTAATATTTCTTTTTTAGTACGAAATTAATATAGGAATATTACTTTCTCGCGAACTAGAAACCTTACGAAAAAGAAAACTAATTTAGATTACAATCGAATTTGTCTTTGGTATTTAGTGCGTATTGTGACGTAAAAATAATGTTATTTTACAAAAGTCAATAAATTATGAATATACCAATTTTTTTCAGTTTCTTATTTCAATATGTTAATCCAGTATTCCAGTTAAAGCAGTGTCAAATTATATTAAAGGTAACATTTATGGTAAAAGAACAAATGAATAAATGAATAAATGAACATTTATGATATTTTAAATAAAACACATATATTATCTAGCACATAATTAACGAAACCTTCGGTTTTTCGCTTTGTTATGATTATAACGAAGAATATGGAGAGCTGATTTATCGTATTTGATTGGTTAAATATCACGTTATGCAGAGTATTGAAATTCATTTAAAGAAAAGTTCGTCACGACTTACGTTAGGATTACAATGAAGTTCTATTTTAAGTAATGAATAAATATTGTAACACTATCTGGGAAGTTACACATATATCAGCCGTGGTGTGGGCTGTATGACAAAATATTTGTAGATAAACAAAATAAATTCTAAATGCAAAAACCGCTGACTTCATTTTTAGTTATAAAATACTAATTAAGTAAACTCATTTTGGAACCTATTAAATTACATTTATTTATTATTTATTTATTCTTTTTTTTCATTTTTTAATATAAGTTTTTTTTTCCCATAATTTATAAAATTAAAAATGTCTACTCAATTTTTTTTGAAATTAAGTCAAAATTTTATTGAATTATTGGAGGATGATGAATATTATGATATTACGATTGAAGTTGGTGAAGATCCTTATGTGAAAATATTCCGTGCTCATATGAGCATTTTGTGTTACCGTTCTTCTTATTTTAGAGAAATAATAGCTTCGAAAAATAAAAAGAATAGAAATTATAATGACTTGTTTCATATTAAATTACAAAGTATATCACCAGAAATCTTTCAAATAATTTTAAAGTAAGTAATTTATTAATACTGTAATATAATAATTTAATAAATTAAAAAAAAAATATCGGTTTAATCAATAATATAGGTATATTTATGGTGGAATTTTTTCATTGAACGAAAATATTACTTTGCAACCAACAAAGATATCGGAAGTTGCTGAATTATTTCAACTTCAAGAATTAGTTGATCATTTACAAAAACATATTATCGAAAATAAACCTGAATGGACGAAAGAACATTTTGAACTTACTAATCAAACAAGTATTCAATCTAATAATTTATTGGATAACGTTAATTCTCCTGAGAATATATTTAATTCACCTGAATTCGTCTCACTTCCAGAAGAATCTTTAGTTTCTATTATTAAGAGAGATGATCTGCAAATGAAAGAATCTGAAGTTTGGAAATGTGTATTAAAATGGGGTCTTGAACAAAATCCTACTCTAAATCCAGATCCTGATACTTGGTCAGATAACGATTTCAATGTAATGAAAAATACTTTACAAAATTGTTTACCTTTAATTAGATTTTTTAGTTTATCATCTAAAGAATTCTTTCGTGATGTTGATCCATACAAAAAGCTTTTAAGTCATCAACTTTATAAAGATTTATTAAATTCTTATATTGATTCTGAAAGTGAACCAAATGATGATAATATATCACTTCCTAAAAGTATTAAAATTGATGGAATTATTGATTCAAAAATCGTTAATTTGAATATTATTTCCATGATTTCAAGATGGGTTGATAAAGTGGATGTTAATAATAATTTTTCATATTTAAGAGAAATGTATTTTCCATACAAATTTAAATTGTTATTAAGAGGAAGTCAAGATGGTTTTACTCCTATAAAATTTCATGAATTATGTGATGATAAACCTAATACTATAATTTTTATTAAAGTCAAAGGATCTGAAGAAATTTTAGGTGGATATAATCCTTCAATATGGAAATATTATGGTGATTGGACTCAATCTTTAGATAGTTTTATATTTTCTTTTAAAGATAATATTAAAAATTCAACATTAAGTTATGTAAAAAATACGGATAAAGCATTATATTTTTCTGATTTATGTGGTCCTTCATTTGGTTCCTCTGATCTTAAATTATCTGTTACTATTCGATATGGTGTAAAATCATCAAATCCTTACGATCTTAATATATGTAAACAAGAATATTATGAGAAAAAGATTAGAGATGATAATAAATTTTATATAGAAGATTATGAAGTGTTTCAATTAATAAGAAGGTAGTAAATTTTACTTAATATACTGTATGTCACATAATTATATAATTTCTATAAATAAATTGATAGGTTCTTTATTTTTTAATAATTTTCAATGTAATTTAATAAAATAAAATAAAATACTAATAATTTCAGTATGTCTGAAAGTTGTATCGGTGCATTTTTTAATTAAAATACTCCACAAACATTATTCATTTCTCATTCTTGATTCGGAATTTCCAATTGATTTAAAATTGGCTGATAAGTCGGATGGTTAACACATAAAATTAGTAATATTCTTCAAGTTCAATCGTTAGAAGACGGAATTGGGATAATTGTTATAAATACTGCGCCATAATGACATTTTTATGTAGACAGTCGATCATGTAAACGTAACGTTGAACAAACTTTTTTTTTCTTTCTTCTTTTTTTCTTTTTATAAATTTATAAAATGTCTATTCAATTTTTTCCGAAATTAAGTCAAAATTTTATTGAATTATTGGAAGATGATGAATATTATGATATTACAATTGAAGTTGGTGAAGACCCTAACGTAAAAATATTTCGTGCACATACTGGTATTTTATGTTACCGTTCCCCATATTTAAGAAGATATTTAGCTTCAAATAAGAAGAATAATGATAATGTCTTGGCTCATATTAAGTTGCCAAATATCTCATCGGATGCTTTTCAAATTATTTTAAAGTAAGTAGTATATATGTAATAAATTTATTATTAGATATTAATATACGATAATCTTATTTTAATGTTAATTTTGTGATAGATATATTTATGGTGGCATTTTATCTTTAAATGAGAATGATACTTCAGATATTTTTAAAATTTTGGTTGCTGCGGATATGCTTCATCTTAATGAAATGGTTGATTATTTACAAAAGTATTTAATTGAAAACAAAACTGAATGGATGGAACAACATTTTGAACTTATTCATCGAATTAGTTTTCAATCTAATAATATTTCAGAACTTCAACAATTTTGTATAGATTTCATGGCTAAATCACCTGAAAAAATATTTAAATCACTTGATTTTACTTCGTTACCCGAAAAATCTGACTTCACTTATTAAAAGAGATGATTTACAAATGAAAGAAATTGAAGTATGGGATCATGTGTTAAAATGGGGACTTGCACAAAATCAAACTCTAATTTCAGATCCTGATACTTGGACAGATGATGATTTCAAAATGATGGAAAATACTTTACAAAATTGTTTACCTTTAATTAGATTTTTTAGTTTATCATCTAAAGAATTTTTACATAAAGTGAGTCCATATAAAAAACTTTTAGGAAATCAAATCTATAAAGATTTATTGAATTCTTATATGGATCCTGATTTTAAACCAGATAACAGTAATATTCCACTTCCTAGAAATTTAAAAATTGACGGGATTATTGATTCAAATATTGTTAATTTAAATATTGCTTCAATTGTTTCAAGGTGGATTGATAAAGTGGATATTAACAATAAATTAGCACATCTTAGAGAATTGTATTTGCCGTATAAATTCAATTTATTGCTAAGAGGGAGCCGAGATGGATTTTCTCCTAAAAAATTTCATGAATTATGTGATAATAAACCTAATACTGTAACTTTTATTAAAGTTAGAGAAACTGAGGAAATTTTAGGTGGATATAATCCTTCGATATGGAAATCTTCTGGTGATTACGATCAATCTTGTAGTTTTATATTCTCATTTAAGAACAAAAATAGACCAGACGATTCAATTTTGAGTCATGTAAACAATATGAATAATGCATTATATTACTCTGATTGGCGTGGACCCTCATTTGGATACTCTGATCTCAAATTAGCTGTTGCTATTCGGATTGGTTCAAAATCATCAAATCATTTTAATTATAATGTATGTAAACAAGAATATTATGAGAAAAAGATAAGAGATATTGAAAATATGTTTTACATAGAAGAGTACGAAGTGTTTCAAATTATAAGAAATCTATTAGAATAACTTATTACTTTTAGGATTACGGATTACGGTTACATAAATTACTACAAATATCAAATCAAAAAATTAATTTATATTTTATGTTATATAAAATTTACTGAATTCTTTATTTTTTTCTTTCATTTCTTGTTTTTTTTTAAAACTGATATAATAGGCGATAAAATCAAATAAAGTATGTGTTGTTAATATCATATTGACAAATAAACTAGTGATACAGAATGATATTTGCATAATAAAATAATAGTATATTTCAGCGGTTATATAAATAAAGTTTAAATAATTAAATTCGTTATTTCAATTAAAAACAACATAATAAAAAAATTTACCCTCCCAGTTAATAATTAAAGAGAATGTAAAATCTTAATTTATAAATATACTTAAACAATTTTACATCTATTATATCTAACAGATTACCTCATTGAAATTATTCAAAAGTCTACAATATTAGAATCGGGATTAATACTGCTGAGAAATGAGATAAATGTATGATTATTTTGATCACACAATAGGCCCGGAGAAATAGGTAGGAGAACAAATGCGTAGAATATCATGTGAATCTTTCCTTTTTTAGACAATTTTTTATAATGTTGGCCAGAATCTGTTTTAGTAACTGACTGACAATATTATAATTCCGGCCCTGAAAAAAAATTTTTTTTGGCTGGATCTTTACTAATTTTAATATTTTTCGGATCTCACACAATATGTCCACTTTACAAGATATTAAATTCATTATATGATTAATTAATAATGAATTTTAAAAATTTAATACAATTAAAATATAGTGATAAATAAATATTCAAGTGGTTATTATTAATAATCAAAAAGGCAAAAATAATTTTTTTTAATAGTACGTTTTATAATACAATGCAAATTGTCAAAATTAAAAAATAATAATAATCTATTGAATGTTCACTTTTTTTTTCTTAATCGCAATTACCAAATTTCGTATGATTTTATTTACAATAAATAAAAATCATTAAAAATCACTAAATTTTTTAAATAATAAGTTTAAGCCTTTTTTTTGCATTTCTTTGCAAGATATCTATATAACTAAAAAAATACAATGTGTAACCGTAACGTTTAGATTAGCTGACCCGTATTCTTTATAGCTAAGACCCGCTTGATCAGCAAAGTCATGTATATATAATCATCCAATTCCGGTTAATGAAATTTTAATCAGAATATTTTTTTTTTTTTTATTAGATTACCGATTTATTTTTTTTTTCAAATATTTATTTTTTTCATTTTTTTTTTTAAACCTATTTTTAAATTTTTCCTTTTCTTTCGATCCGATTTGAATTCTTTCAGTTCCCTTTTTTTTAATTTTCTCTTTTTTTTCTTAAACCGATCTTTTACTTTCGGTTCTTTCCTCTTTCTCTTTCGAACCACCTTTTTCCTTTTCTTTTCCATTTTTTTTTCCTTTTTTTAAAAAATTTTCGTTTTTTTTTTCCTCTTTCTTTTTCGGGTTGGTTTTTTTTCCACGAGAATTTTTTTGGTTTTTTTAGGTTTGGTTTTTTTCCCAAACTGAAAATTTTTTTTTTTTTATAAATTATCCTATTGTTTTGGTCTTTGATTTTTTTATATTATTATTTTTTTCGGTCTTTTTTTAAGACCATATTATTAATTTTTTTTTCAGTCTTTTTGGGGTCCTTTTTTCAGAATTTTTTTCGGTACTTATTTTTTTTACGGATTCCTTTTTTTTCGAATATTTCCCTTTTTTAAACCGATTTCTTTCTTTTCTCTTATACACATCTAGATGTGTATAAGAGACAGTTACGGTCGCTTCTGTTGAACAAGTTAATTGTACTAATTACCGAAAATTTCTTCATTAAAAATCAACATCACGAAANTTTTTTTCAAATCAAATTTTTTTTTCCCGAACCACATTCTTAAACCATTTAGATTTGGATCGGTTATCGGATTGGCGCTGCGGCACCACGGTAATTGCCTTTTTTCCCGATTATTATTATTATTATTATTATTATTAATATTTTCCCTAATTATTTTTTAGACTCAATAATAGACTGACATATAATTCACTTATTTATTTTTTGTAACAATAGATCGGTATAGTAAATTTTATGGGAAATTGTTTTTTCATGACAATAAATCGTTATAATTAATTTTTCTGGTGAATATTTTTTTTTTTCGTAACAATAGATTGTTATAATTGATTTTTGGGGGATTTTTTTTTCATATTAGTAATTAGAGAGATATTTTTTTTTATAATAATAGATATATGGTAAATATATGTGTATTTTTTTTCAACAGAGGATGTAATTTTTTTTAATGTTAGGCCACACAAATTCGATTTTTCGGTTCACTTCACCCGGCCGGGTCACTTTTTCAAATTTCAAAAAAGTTTATATATATAGTTTATCACGTGATCGGGACGTAATTTTATTGGCGGGTAAGTTTATCACGTGGCTGAGAACTTTCTGGAGCGAAAATAGATTCTTTAATGACCCTCCCCTTTAAAAGTCAACCACAATTTTTATATATAAAATTTTTTTTAATAATAAACAATAAACCCCGGGTTTCCTTGTCGATTTTAAATTTCAATGTTACGTGAACCGAAAAATTGAATTTGTGTTGCCTTATTGAAGTATTCTAATAAATAAATAAAAAATTTAATTTATTGTTATTTTTAATTTTTTTATTTTAAATCTCGAATACCTTTTTAAGCGCAAGTTCATAAGTAAATGCTGGATCCTTGCTATAAACTTCTCCAAACCAATTCCGATCATGAATAGCACCATCAAAATATAATCCAATTGCCATAGCCCCGCATGATTTAATTCTCTCATAATTAAATTGTTATCATGCATGTTAATTTCTACTTTTTCCGTTTTGCCTGATGGATTAACTTCAATTACAATTGGTGGTATTCCAGGAACACAAGCCTTCAAGATAATGTCAGACAACGTGAACACCCAACTTAGATACCTTCTAATGTAGAGCTGATAGGAACCTATAAATGTAAGAGCATAAATAGTAATATATGTTGCTTTTTTAAGACGGCTAATTTTATTATGAAGTTCTTCTATTGTCATTGTTGTTGGAATTATAGTATCAGTACACATTCAATCATTTTTACCGCTGTCTACAAACTTCAATTAATTCTGTAGCCTTCGTTTGATCCTTTGCACATATTGTAGGACCATCATATATGCTTTGCGCCACATTGCAATGATATCTGAAAGACTTGATGGATTTATTCCATAAATATTGTAAAAAGTATCCGATTCATTTCTTTTATGCCGTAAAAATATGTCTTTCTTGCATGGTTTAAAGCTAATGTACCCACTATAAGAAAGTTCCTGAGAGTTTAGATTTTGTTAACATATACAGAAGCTGCATCATACAAATATTAAATCAAAACAACAAAGAAAACAAATATAATTATCTTTGAAACCGACCACAAAGGTTAGTCCGATAGTTATATAATCAATGTAGATGATCAAGAAATGAATAATCTTATTCCAAAACTCATATATAAGGATAGTTGTTCAAAGTAAATCTTGATTCACGTGACAATCTGATGTCTGACATACTGGATCGGATGTCGGGTTCAAAATTTTACTTTGTCCTGAATAATATGAAAACAGCTGCCGGGATGCTCAGGTTGTTCAACTGCTACTATTTTCGGAGTAGAAATTGTTGAGGGTTTTGAAGACGCCTCTTGTGATGTTGGTGGTGAGCTCGGTTCACTTAATCTTCTAACACTCATTGTGTGCCTGTTCGAATGACAACTCTAGAAATATTAAATTATTTTTAATCAATATGCTTAATTGTTATCATAGTTTACAATTTGGATCTGCAAGATGATTTAACTATTGGTAAGAATAGCTGATATTTTGAGTATTTCAATTTACATAATAAATTAATAATGTTAATTTATATTTTCAATTTTTAAAGTACTAGAAGAAAAGTCTAATAAAAGAATTTATTCTAATGGTAACAAATCATTTATCAAAGCTTCTTAATATCAGCTATAGGTATTTTTAGGATTCTCCCTGTTTTAACTCTTTTCTTTTGTAATAAATTGTGAGTATTCACTTTTTTAGGATGTATTGTAACGTTTTTTTTTAACACCTGAACACTTTCTCTTTATCAAAATATCAAAAGATAATTATTGTTTTTAATTTTTTTTTTATTTAAAAAAGAAAGGGAAAAAAAAAACTAAACATAAAAGTAAATGTCCAATATATATAACTTTACAAAGAATAATAATACTACATAAACTAATTTTTTAATACACTTCATTTATATAATCATAAAAACTAGTAAATAATTGTTTATAATCTTTAATTATAATACCATACAATTTACATTTCTCTTCCAAATAAAACATATCATGATCTTTTAATGCCAAATATCTAACTCTTCTCTTTTTCACAATATATTCATCTAATAAATTAGTTAAATTATTATCATCATCTTTAGTTTGAGTATGATTAATAATTAAAAATTTTTCAATAAATGTATTCTGAGAATTTTTTAAAAATATTTCAAAATCACTTGTTGTAATTGTATAAAGATATAAATATAAATATTCTAATCTTAAAGGAAGAATTTGACCTAAATCTTTTAATATAGTTGAACTAAATTCAATTAATTCTTCATCATCATAATAATCATTATAAGAATCATGAAAACAAATATTAAGATAATTAAGATTTTGACCAATATTTTCAATTAAATCAAATGCTAAATAAATATTATCAAATTCAGGAAATTCCAAAAATTTAATTTTTTTACAATGATTTTTAACCAAATCAATTAATATACGATTTTCAAGTCCAAAACCAAAATTTTCTAAATAATCATTTGATTTTTTTAATAATAATTCCATAGAATCAATATGATAAGTTCCATCTTGAATATATAAAGATCTTAATTTAAATGGTTTATTAAGATTATTAATTTGTTGAATAAATTCAGAATTAAAAAATTGACAATAAATCATATGAATAGAATCTAAAACATTTAATTGTTCAAAAAATTCTTTAAAAATGAAAATATTATTAAAATCAATTTGATAAAATATAATAGTTTTTAAAGTATTTGAACAATTAGAATTTTTTAATGATAATAATGAATCATATAAAGGATAATCATTTGAACGAAATATAATTTTTTTAAGATTTTTTTGTAAAGAAATCATAAGTGATGTATGTTTAATAATATTATTCAATTTACCATATTGAAAATAAAGGGTTGAAAATGAATTATTATTTAATGATAATAATGATAAAAATGTTTCAATATTTTTTAAATTATTAATACTTCTATAAGAAATACAAATCATAAAATTTTTAATATTATAAATGAAATTTGGATTTTGTAATATTAATTCAATAATACTATTAAAAAATCCTCCTGTAATAATTTTAATTTTAAAAGTATGTAATTTTACTTGATTTTCAATTAATATTTTAAATAATGATTTATATATTAATCTTATTGAATTTAAAAAATTTGAACGTAAAATTAAATTTTGTTTATCATTTTTTAGGGTACTAGATGTTGCCACCCATTTTTTAATACAATAAATCATATCCTTAGTATTTAACTTTTTAATAAAACTTGGATAATTAAATAATGTATTTAATGGTAATATTTTACTATTAATTTCATATTCTTTTAATTTTATTTTATCTTCTTCACTTAAATTATTTAAGAGATAATCAATAATACTATAATCATGAAATGAAAATGGATCTTCCCATAATAATGGAATTGCCATACGACACCATATTCTATTAACTAAAACACATGAATGTAAAGTTGAAATATCATTCAAATATTTCATAATTTCATTTAATAATTCGGGTAAATCTCCTGAAAATAATTTTGAACATGACATATTGACGAGAAGGAAAAAAAAGGGGAAGAATTTTATAAGTTTCATATTATGTCGGTTGGTAATTAAATGGTTCCGATAGTTGTACAAAAATATGTAGAAAAATTTGGCTAATTTTTGCAGCCACAACTTGCCGATCCACAAATACTGCGCTTACGGTTAGATATAATAAGATTTGCAAATTTATGATTTTATCACATGACCCTGATTTTATCCAAACGTACTAGATTTCCATATACTTATTACGAATTTTCGAAAGCTTTACATACTCGACATAATTCTTTTTGAGAACTTTTTATTTTTAACCAAGAGAATAAAAATAAGTTAGCTTGGCCAATTACATTAAATCTATGTTGACACATCTTCGAGTTGAAATTTTTCTAAACCAAAAATTGTTGTAAATCGAAATTGCGAAACTAGTTTCTAGAGATGATCAATTACGTAAGTTTCACTATTCTAATTACGGAAAACGGAATTGTATTTAATTTTTTAATTTATTATATGATATAAACTCATAATTGAGTATTTGAAATATGATAACTATGTATAAATTTACGTTTTGTGGCTTTATTGTAACTTTTATGTTTAATTGCTTTAACGTTAATATATAAAAACTCAAATCTTTTAAGGGCAAAAATTATAGGCAAAAAATAACCTGACGCGCGTTACCTGTATTGCACAATAATCTCTAATGCTAATAGCGAAATCATATCCAAATTTGAAGTATCTCAATATAACCGCTTTGTGCAATATATTTCCAAAAAATGATATAGTTCGCAAATTCATGCCATAAATTAGAATGAACGTATCACAATAAATTATACATATGAAATTATACTTAACTTTATAATTTCTCGATGGTAAAGGAAATTGAACGATAAATATTATTTAAATTTAAAAAATTACAAATTTAATAAATTACCAAATTTCTTTTTTCTGTTGAATTTTAAAAATTCATTCTTTTTATTTTCATTTTAGGCACTAAAAACGAGCAGTCGTGGCAACGATATCAAAATTTTAAGAATTGTCATCTATTTATTTATTTATTTTTTTTTTGAAAAACAAAACAAAATCTATATTGTGAAAACAAAAATATGAATGATCTTTAAGGATATTTACAATATTCTATTCTCTTATTTTTTCGTGATTTGAAATACTTCATAATCTTCTATATAAAATTTATCTTCGGTATCCCTTATTCTTTTCTCATAGTTAGTTTGCTTACATATATTAAGGTCAAATAGATCTTCGTTTCCAAAACCATTATTACATGATAATATAAGATCAGAACCACCAAATGAGGGACCACTATTTTTAAAATAACATAACGCCTTATCTATATTTCTAATGCGACTTAAAATTGAATCTTTAATCCCATCTTTGTTCTTAAAAGAAAATATAAAACTACAATAAGATTGACCCCAATTACCATTACAAGATTTCCATATCGTAGGATTATGTCCACCTAAGATTTCACCAGTTTCCTTTACTTTAATAAATGTAACAGTATTAGGTTTATCATCGCATAATTCATGAAATTTTTTAAGACTAAATCCATCACGACTACCTCTTAATAATAATTTGAATTTGTATGGTAAATATAATTCCCTCACATATGAAAATTTACCATTACAATCCACTTTATCAATCCATCTTGAAATAGTTGAAGTTATATTCAAATTAACGATATTTGATTCAATAACATCATTTAATTTTAAGTTTCTGGGAAGTGATATATTTCTATCATTTGGCTCAACATCAGGATCCATATAAGAATCCAATAAATTTTTATAAAGCTGATGGTTTAAAAGTTTTTTGTATGGACTCACTTTGTGCAAAAATTCTTTAGATGATAAACTAAAAAATCTAATTAAAGGTATACAATTTTGTAAAGTATTTCCCATCATTTTAAAGATTTCATCTGTCCAAGTATCAGGATCTGAAATTAGAGTTTGATTTTGGACAAGTCCCCATTTTAACACATGTTCCCATACTTCAATTTCTTTCATTTGCAAATCATCCCTTTTAATAAGCGAAATTAATGATTTTTCGGGTAACGATGTAAAATCAAGTGATTTAAATATTTTGTCGGGTGATTTAGTTATAAAATCTGTACAAAATTGTTGAAGTTCTGATAAATTATTAGATTGAAAACTTGTTCGATATATAAGTTCAAAATGTTGTTCCATCCACTCAGTTTTGTTTTCAATTAAATACTTTTGTAAATAGTCAACTAATTCATGAAGTAGAAGTTCATCAGCAGCAATCAAAACTTTAAAAATATCTAAAGTGTCTTGTCCATTTAGCGAAAAAATGCCACCATAAAGATATCTATATATTAAGATTATATAAAGTATTAAAATTTGATATTTTAAATTAATTATGATATGTATTACTTTACCTCAAAATAATTTGAAAGGTTTCCGGCGAAATATTTGATAATTTAATATGAGCTAAGTCATCATTATTCTTTTTGTTTGAAGTTAAAGTTCTCCGTAAAAATGAAGAACGGTGACATAGGATAATCACATGTGCACGAAATATTTTTATGTTAGGATCCTTACCAACTTCAATAGTAATATCATAATATTCATTATCCTCTAAAATTTCAATATAGTTATGACTTAATTTTGAAAAAAATTGAATAGACATTTTTTTTTTAAGTATAATTCAACTTTAACGTTAAAAAGAAAAATAATTTTTTTAACCGCATGATCGACTTTTAAATTTGCAGATGTGTCACAAATAGTACCTGCATATGGATTTACGGCATGATCTGATTTGCAGTTTTTAGGGTCTGTCATTTCACCGGCAATTATCTCGCCGACAGATGTTTCACCGACAGGATCATTTCACCGACAGTTATTTCACCGATAGTCTAATCCACTTACCCTAACCTAATATAACCTAGTCCTAACCCTAATTTTTTACCTAACCCTAACTTTAATCGTAAATTTCTTTGTCGGTGAGATGATTGTCGGCGAAACATTTGTCTCCGAAATGACCCTGTCGGTGAAACGTCTGTCGGTGAAATAATTATCGGTGAAATGAATGCAACCCTAATTCACTGTGTACATGGCTTACCTGCATTATCATATTTTATCGGGTAAACGCGAGACTTTATTAAAACTTATATTGCAACAATAGGTAAGACCCACATAGACCAGTGAATATATGGCGAATAAATAATTTTCTGGGATATCGACGAAGCTTTTCAATAATAAAATGATCCAAAATAACATATTTCAATATTTCATGATGTTTGAACTTTGTTAAATACTAATAAAATATGACACAATTATTTTTGCCAGTACTATAAATATCAATTTAAAATTCGTCATATACAAAAAAGTTTTCAATAAATTAGAATTGAAAAATGTTTCATAGATTATAACAATTAAATATTACATTAAAATAAAAAATACTATAAAAATATGACTATTAAAATATATTCAAATCAAACATTGAATATTTTAAAGTACTTAACACGACTGACAAGTGTTACAAACCATGATAAAATTCAAAATAAATTAACTCTTTAATTTGATTTAATTTGATTCCGTGCGTAAAAAAAAATTATAAATAGGTCAAATAAATTATCATTATTAATATGAATTCTTTTAATTATCCAAGCAATTTCAATTGATTTCATATAAGAATTAAGAATTTATAAAACATTTAAATTATTATATTCGTTATTCAAGTATAAAGAGGAAGTAAGATTTAATTACTTCCGAGTTATGTTTTCCTTTAATGTGAACTACTGCGCCATGATGACATTTTAAGTCGATCATGCAACGTTTGCAACGTTATAACGTTGAACAACGTTGAACAAAATTTTTAGCCATTTTTTTATTTTTTTTTTATTTTTCATTGATTACAAAAAAATGTCTATTCAATTTTTTCCGAAATTAAGTCAAAATTTTGTTGAATTATTGGATGATGATGAATATTATGATATTACAATTGAAGTTGGCGAAGACCCTAACGTAAAAATATTTCGTGCACATACTGGTATTTTATGTTACCGTTCCCCATATTTAAGAAGATATTTAGCTTCAAATAAGAAGAATAATGATAATGTCTTGGCTCATATTAAGTTGCCAAATATTTCACCGGATACTTTTCAAATTATTTTAAAGTAAGTAGTACATGTAATAAATTTTATAAACTATATATTAATACACGCACCATAATCTTATTTTAACGTTTATTTTGTAACAGATATATTTATGGCGGTATTGTTTCTTTGAATGAGAATGATACTTCAGATATTTTTAAAATTTTGGTTGCTGCGGATGTGCTTCATCTTAATGAGATGGTTGATTATTTACAAAAGTATTTAATTGAAAACAAAACTGAATGGATAGAACAACATTTTGAACTGACTCATCGAATTGGTTTTCAATCTAATAATTTTTCAGAACTTCAAGAATTTTGCGTGGATTTCATGGCTAAATCACCTGAAAAAATATTTAAATCACTTGATTTTACTTCGTTACCTGAAAAATCTTTGGTTCCACTTATTAAAAGAGATGATTTACAAATGAAAGAAATTGAAATATGGGAACATGTGTTAAAATGGGGACTTGCACAAAATCAAACTCTCATTTCAGATCCTGATACTTGGACAGATGATGATTTCAAAATGATGGAAAATACTTTACAGAATTGTTTACCTTTAATTAGATTTTTTAGTTTATCATCTAAAGAATTTTTACATAAAGTGAGTCCATATAAAAAACTATTAAATCATCAAACCTACAAAGATTTATTGAATTCTTATATGGATCCTGATTTTGAACCAGATAACATTAATATTCCACTTCCTAGAAATTTAAAAATTAACGGAATTATTGATTCAAATATTGTTAATTTAAATATTGTTTCAATTGTTTCGAGGTGGATTGATAAAGTGGATATTAACAATAAATTAGCACATCTTAGAGAATTGTATTTGCCGTATAAATTCAATTTATTGCTAAGAGGGAGCCGAGATGGATTTTCTCCTTATAAATTTCATGAATTATGTGATGATAAACCTAATACTGTAACTTTTATTAAAGTTAAAGGAACTGAGGAAATTTTAGGTGGATATAATCCTTCGATATGGAAATCTTCTAGTGGTTTGAGTCAATCTTGTAGTTTTATATTCTCATTTAAGAACAAAGATAAATTAGACGATTCAATTTTGAGTCATGTAAACAATATGAATAATGTATATTATCACTATGATAGGTTTGGACCCTTATTTGGATCTTCTGATCTCAAATTATCTGTTACTGTTAAACATAGTGTATCATCAAGTTATAATTCTAATATATGTAAACAAGAATATTACGAGAAAAAGATAAGAGATACTGAAGATAAATTTATTATAGAAGAGTACGAAGTTTTTCAAATTAATAAGAAATTAATTTGAATAATTTTTATTTTATAATAAAAGTACGATTACATCAATTTCTACAAATATTGAACTTTCAATGTTAATTTTGTATACAATTAGTTTTATTTTTCCTTTTTCCTTTTATTTATAAGTACAAATGATAAAATCAAGTATTGTAATTTTGATACAAGTCAGGATTATATTTGAATAAAATAACAGCAGCCCGCTGTGTAGATATCGTTTGTCATTTCTATTTGTAACGGCATAAATGCATAATAAAAAAAAATATTTTTCCCCAGTTAGGATTTAATGAGAATGTAAGATCTTGATGCAAAAATTATATTACACATATTCTCATGAATTAATATGTATCATAACGAATTACTTACTTAATTGGAATTACTCAAAAGTTTACAATACTATCATATCATCTGTACGATTATTTTAATCACATGATGTGTTCACTTTAGAAGATATTAAATTCATGAAAAAAAATGTAGGGAATACCAGTATCTCCTGGCATATCACATAAATCGTATTCAATAATCCTACGTACAATAAACTTTTTTTATACATACTTTTTACGTGGACGACAAAATTGGATTTTTTTATTTAAACACTGAACTTTCTAGAAAAATAACTTATTTAAACAAATATTTTCATTTAAAAGTACATTTACACAAACAATTTTTTCCTTAACGCGGAAATTTAGCAATTTTTATACATAGTGTTGGAATTTTGGTTTGGCGATCAGGGTGTGCTGGCTATGGGATTGTTTAATTGTTATTGATTTTTTTTTTAGATGGTTGCCTGAAGGTGCTTGTTGTGAAGATGAAGATAGTCCTTTAAAAGAATTATATAATGGACAAACTTATTACTTCATTTGAAAGTACTTGAGTAATGATATGCAACTCAAATAGGATTTGAAACAAAAATAATCCGTATTGAAAAAGAAGATGGCGTATATGCTCAAAAAAACTTACAAATGTTGTCATGTAGCTTGATCCTCGAGATCGAGTGTCGGCTTGTGTAGAATGGTAATGTAAAAGATAAAACGATATGAAGATCACAGATATGGGAATGATAATATGCTTGTTCTAGGGCTTCACTGGGAAGACTTTCGGAAAAATTAACAATTGTGTCTTGCAAAGGCGCTAAAAGTAAAAAAACCGATGAATTCTCATCACTTAATTAGCCATACATCACAGTTGACAAGTTATTTTGAATAACTTACTTTGCAATAATCACATTGCCGAGAAGTAGTGTGTTCATGACACCATTCGCTTCGCGGACGCGGAACTTTCGTCAGTAATATTTCTTGCAATTATAGCATCTTTCCACATTACCATTTCCGTGCAATTCGGATATCGTGGTAATGGGAATACCACTTCGTATTCTCGATTACAATTTAAACGAATGCGCAGTCAGGGTCACAATATTTTTGCTTGTATGACATATTTTCTCTCTTTTGGAGAAATGGCGAGTTGCATCAATATTTGTAATTTCTGGTGAGTGCCAGGTCGCAAACAATGATGTAATTGTAATTAACAAATGGTGTAGAGGAAAAGTCTATATTAAGAGTTTAATCCAAGGTAAGTTATGGAGGAAGTTTGACTGTTCGAACTTGTGAGGTATATCCATAAAATAGAGTCGTCAAGATTACGACGCGTATTAGTGAAAGGGTTGGTATATCCATGAATATGATCTAGCGTTAATCGCGACATGTTGGGTGAAGAGTTGTTGTTATCATTTCTTCTTTTCTTTTGGTCGTTAGTAAAAGTTTTTTTTTGTAACATTGTTTTGTTTTTCCATTCTTTCCATGCTACTGATCTAGTTTTCCACAGTAGTTCGAATATCTTATGATGTAGGTCGAAAAGAAATTTGAGTAATAAAGATTTAATGCGTTTCTTGTTAATTTTAGCATTTTTGAAGGGTTCCACGATGGACGAAGGAACGAGATTGAGTAATAAACAAAATAAACAATGTAAATCTGGGGTATCTTGTAAAATCGTTGGGGATTGTTGGTCCAAATAAATAAAGGTTAAATTGGACAACATTGTAACCAATTCATTAGTAACATTGTCGGAGTGTGATAAAATTAAGGATTTGTATAAACGTTCGTATCTTTCAAAAAGAGTAGTCAGAATTTCTATTGTTTTAGGACAGGTCCATAAGTGTTCGTTATTAATAAATTAATTATGTATATAATACATGTAAAAATTGACATACTTTTAGGATCATATGATCAATATGATCAGTATAATCA